CTTTCAGACTGGAATGGGAGGAGCATGTTCCTCCCGCAGATTGATTCACAGTCACCGGTCATTTGGACAGACGCGGCATCATCCGCGGGATATTCGGCCGTTTTCGGCACAGAATGGCTCTGGGGGACCTGGCCTACAGAAACACAGGGCATTGAGGGTTTTCACACTAACTCAGCCCTATTTGAAGTATACCCGATAGTTGCTGCAGCTGTCACTTGGTGTAGGTTGTGGAAAGGTCAGTCCGTACACTGCTTTTCTGACAACCTGGCAATATGCCACATTATCAATAAAGGTCGCTCTTCCTCCTTGGCGATTATGAGTTTCCTTAGGAAACTGACATTGCTGGCGGCTACGCATCAGTTCCACATTGTATGATCTCATGTTCCCGGCATATACAACACGGCAGCTGACCAACTATCTCGCTTTCAATTTCAGGCTTTCAGACTGTCCCTACCCTCGGCAGCTCGTGTAGCAACCCCAGCTCCAACTTTCCAAGATCTTATCATGGAGTAGACGAACTACTTCAGCACAGCCACGTTCTCACCAAGTTAGCCTCATCCACCAGCACCCAACACGCGTATCACAGAGCTTTTCACTTGTACAAACAATTCATGTCTGACCATCACCTAGCCAACTGGTTCGAGGTTTCTTCACTGATAGCTTTTGCATCTTTTTGCCACCTTAAATTTAAATTCTCACATAATACTATTAAGCTGTACCTCACGGGGATACAACACCATATGTATTTCTCCTTCCCTAACCACGAAGGGTTCTTAACTTCTTATCCCATCCGAACACTACTGAAAGGCATAACAAAAGCAGACGGCCCTGCAACACCCATGAGACTTGCCATTGACATTAAAATGTTCAAATCCTTGTCCGACCTTCTCGACCAGGCACCATTTGAACCCCATACGAATGCGGTCATTAAAACTGCCATTTATCTAGCGTTTTATGGGTTTCTTAGACCAAGAGAATTCACCATTAGTGGCCAGCACCATAGCCAAGGGTGCCTCCTCACCTCTTACCTCATGAAACACACAGACTACTACGTCCTGACCCTACCTAAGACCAAAACAAGTCAGATGGGGGAACCGGTTCACATAACCTACTACCCCACAGGGAACAATTGATGTCCGGTGAAAGTACTGGACGCTTTCTTAGCTACAACACCAACACGCACCACAAAACCACTACTAATACTACACGATGCAATTCTTACAACGGCAATATTCATGCTTTATGTCCATATGCTTATCACCAGACTTGGTCTTAACCCTAGCAACTACTCAGGGCACTCCTTCAGAATCAGAGCGGCCTCCACGGCATCTAGCCAAGACATTCCAGCACACGTAATTAAGACACTGGGTCGCTGGAAGTCCTCGGCTTACGCCACTTACATCCCACACCCAGTCCAAGAGATTAGGAGGGCGTTCATTAAGATGTCTATTTAATATGTAATAATGTACTATGTTTTCTGAATAAATGTTTTCTTTGATTTATCTCTTTTTGCCCACTTTATTTACCGGCCTACAGCATACATCGGTTTCGGCACACCTCAACCGACTATTTCCTTTTACTTTATTCCTCTTCACCAGCGTATTTCATATCCGATGAGAATGCCCCGAACACAAATATTATATATATATATATATATATATATATATATATGATCTAAGTATATATATATATACACATATACATACACACACATACACTGTCTAGGTGTATTTCACTATTAATATATATATAATTATATATATTTATATATATTAATATCAAATTACACGTAGACTGATACTGATTAAATATATATATATATAATTATTGTTATATATATTTATATATCATATAAAAAAATAAGTAAATACGTTAAAAAATAAAATAAAAAAAATATTAAAAATAAATAATTAAAAAATATATAGATGTGTCTTATTTCGTTCTAACTGTTTTGTGATATTAATATATATATTTATATCAAAATACACGTAGAACGAAATAATATATATATCTATATACATAAATATATACGTATATATCACTACATATATACCTATATATAAATAAAAATATTTTGAAAAAATTATATATACATATATATACGTATATTAATTCTACATATATATTTATGTAATATTTTTACATAATTAGGTATTTTCATTAATTACAATTAGGGGGACCTGCCTGACAACCCATGCCGAAAGTATAGGGAATTTAATTTGCTAGCACTATATTTAACCCTATAACTTTCCAAGACACCATAAAACCTGTACATGGGGGGTACTGTTTTACTCAGGAGACTTCGCTGAACACAAATATTAGTGTTTCAAAACAGTAAAATGTATTACAACGATGATATCACCAGTAAAAGTGATGTTTTTCGCATTTTTCACACACAAACAGCACTTACACGGACGATATTATTGCTGTGATACTTTTTACTGTTTTGAAACACAAATAATAAAATTAAATGTCATGTAGAACTAAAAAAATAACAAAATTTCTTATTTTCTCCCATTTTTTTCATATTAAATTATGTTTCATAGCTAAATATTTGATATTAAATGAAAGCCCTGTTTCCCCTGAATAAAATGATATATAATAAGGGTGGGTGCATTTAATATGAAAGAGGTGAATTACGGTTGGACAGACATATAACGAAAATGCCAGGTTTTGTTTATGTGTTTTTTTTTGTTCACAACGTGTACATTTGGCTCAGTCCTTAACCCCTTAACGCCGTTATGGCGTTCTATGCTGTCCCGCATTAAAAGGGCTTTAAAGCCGTTGCGGCGGCATAGAACGCCGTAACGGCTTTCTGCCCCTGGAGGTCCGCAGTACTCACCTCCGCCGCAATCCTCTTCTGGAGGGCTGCCTGACAGCCCAGGCAGCCCTCCCCGGCAAATGAGGCCCCAGGGGGCCATGTAATCACTCTCAAAGAGCGATCACATGGCCCCCTATAGCTGGCTGTGGATCTGCCAGCAGGGGGACTGTCTGAAGTGTCAGACAGTCCCCCTGCTGGTGGGAAAGTAAAAAAAAAAAAAGAATTAAACATGTTTAAAATAAAATAGACATTTATTTATATATATATAATATATGTATATATATATAAATATATAATATATATACATATTATATATATGTAACGTCATACAAAGTGTATTTTAATATTAATATAAGTACATATATTAGTATTAAAATACACTTAGAATGATGTTACATATATATATATGTATATATATTATATATATAATAGATATATACACATTTATTATATATATATATATATATATACACACGTATAATTACAATAATAAATAAAATATTGAAACAAAATTTAATATAAATGATATATTCATATGTAATTTCATTCTAACTGTATTTTGTTATTAATATATATATATTGGTAACAAAATACACTTAGAATTACATTCTATATATATCTATTTATATATAAAATACAAATAACCGCAAATATATATATATATATATATAAATACAAATAATTACATAAAAGATTACATTAGTATACACGTAGAATTTAAATACCTATAAATGCATATATATTAAAATTCTACGTGTATATTTAAGTAATCTTTTAACATAATTATGTGATTTGATTAATTAAAATTTGATTGACATGCCTGACAACACAGGGAGAAAGTGCAGAGAATTTAATTCGCAAGCACTATATTTGACCCTGTAACTCTCCAAGACACCATAAAACCTGTACATAGGGGGTACTGTTTTACTCGGGAGACTTCGCTGAACTCAAATATTAGTGTTTCAAACTGGTAAATTGTATTACAACGATGATATTTTAAGTAAAAGTGAAGTTTTTTGCATTTTTTACAAACAAACGGCACTTTTATGGACTATATTATTGTTACTCTTTTAAAACACTAATATTTGTGTTTAGCGAAGTCTCCCAAGAATAACAGTACCCCCCATGTACAGGTTTTATGGTGTTTTGGAAAGTTAGAGAGTCACATATAAGGCTTGCATTTCATTTTTTTGACATTGAAATTTGCCAGATTGGTTATGTTGCCCTTGAGAGCGTATGGTAGCCCAGGAATGAGAATTACCCCCATGATGGCATACCGTTTGCAAAAGTAGACAACCCAAGGTATTGCAAATGGGGTATGTCTAGTCATTTTTAGAAGCCACTTAGTCACAAACACTGGCCAAATATTATTTTTTTGCTTTTTTTCACACAAAAACAAATATGAACGCTAACTTTGGCCAGTGTTTGTGACTGAGTGGCTACTAAAAAAGACTAAATATACCCCACTTTCAATACCTTGGGTTGTCTACTTTTTCAAATGGTATGCCATTATGGGGGTAATTCTCATTCCTGAGCTACTACACCGTCTCAAAGGTAACATTACTAATCTGGCAAATTTCAATGTGAAAATGGAACGTTCTGTATTTGACCCTGTAACTTTCCAAAACACCATAACACCTGTTAATGGGGGGTACTGTTGTACTCGTGAGACATTGCTGATTACAAATATGTGCATTTTTTTGCAGTAAAATCTAACAGTATTATGACATTCACAGCTAAAATGTCAGACGGAAATACAAATTTTTAAAAAGAATCTTATTTTCTCACATTTTTTTACATTTTATTCATAATAAATTATGTTCCATATATGAATAGTTAATGATAAATGAAAGTCCTGTTTCTCCTGAACAAAATTATATATAATAAGTGTGGGTGCACTTAATGTGACAGCGGTGAATTACGGTTGAACAGACATATAGCGCAAATTAGGGATTATTCTAGTTTACAGTGAACGAATAATCTAAATTTTATTAAAGACAGGAGGCGAATATTTGCTCATCTTTCTTTACTATAACTCCCAGCAGCAAAGAAGTAAACAAGGCTGTAAAAAATTCAACCAATCATAACACATCATAGAACAATATAGTGCCATCAGACTCCTCCCACTTCCTCTTTCGTGGTGGTGCCGATGAGTAGTAGAATCAACCATGTAAACTGGAAACATTCTGGAACCGTAACTCAGGTGTAACGCAATGAAGTCAACCATGTAAACGTGTTGTCGAGTAGATCAACATGAGATTTTCACACTAGGAGAGAAGAAGAGAAACTTCGTGAAAGTATGGTCTCTTAGACAAGAGAAAAAACATAAGTAAGCACTGTAAAGTGATAGCTCAGATTATCTGGTAGGATTTAAAGATCATAATGGTACAATGCGATGTAGGACTAGATCTTACTAGGCTAACAAAATCGTATACCTACAACAATCAGATTGCAAGAGAGTGTAAAATGCATTAACAGTAGAGAAGGAGACTTACCCTAAGGGTGGGTTCCAGAGTGAACGAAGGGAGGGAAAATATTCTCCTCCTGTCTTTAATAAAATTTAGATTTGCTGTTTTAACGCTCTTGGATAAAGGAACAAGCCGCATGTGATGTAGGTTTAAAATAAAAAGTTCGAAAGGTAGATTCCCTTGACCAATCTGCTGAGGAGAGAATATCTGCCAGCGAGCTGCCTGCGCGAAAGGCAGAGGATGCGGCCGCACCTCTAACGGAGTAAGCACCGAATGATTGATCAATTCCTGCTTGGGTAAGCAACCATCTTATCCAGCGTGCGATCGTGGGGGAAGAGACCGGTTTGTGAGGTCTAACGTAAGAGACAAAGAGAGGTCCAGTAGGGGAACGTAGAGAGATAGTGTTCTCAATGTAACAACGGGTACACAGGGCCACACAGAGAGACGGTCTGTCGGGAAAGTATGGGTAAAAAACTGAGGAGGAATTAGTCTTAGTGCGTCTAGTAATAGTAAATCTGACACCGTCTGGTGCGAAGGCCACAGCATGAGAGTCAAAGGCCTGAACGTCTGAGACTCTGCGGAGAGACACCAGGCACAGGAGCAGGGCCAATTTCGCAGAAAGTTGGCGTAGGGATAAGGCCTCGTTAGAAGGCCAGGAATCCAACAGTGTAAAAACCTTAGAAATATCCCAGAAGTTAGAATATTTGGCAGTAGGAGGCCTTGTCAAACGTATGCCCCGTAGACGTCTGCACACGGAAGGGTGTTTCCCAACCAAAGAATTATCAATAGTGTCATGGGCCACTGAAATGGCGGAGCGAAAAACATTAATCGATCGGTATGATTTACCCTGATCGAAGAGAGAGGATAAAAAAATTAAAATGGGTGAAAGAGGTGTTGAAACGGGATTGAGGTCCCTTTCCAGACACCAGCTGACCCAAATCCGCCATGCGAAGAGGTAGGTTCGTCTGGTTCCTGGAGCCCACGAGTCCCATAGGAGTGTTTGAGCTGTGCGTGAAAGTCCTGCGACATGCCAAGCTCCCCTGAAACTGTCCAAGCTACTAGTTGAAGATGACCCTGTAGGGCGAGTGCGTGGTAATCGCCCGCAGGGTTCCTGAGGACCTGAAAGGAACAAGATAGCAGGATGGGGTAATCAAGTTCCAGGAGGGTGGGGAACCAAGTCTGGGCCCTCCATAGTGGAGTGATTATTACTATCCTGACCCTTTGAGCTTTGACTCAGTAAAGGGTCCGTTGAATCATCGAGAAAGGAGGGAAAGCATAAGCTCCTCTCCGCGGCCAAGGTTGCAGAAAAGCGTCGACTGTCAGAGATAGAAGGTAGCCAGCTGAAGAAATCGTCTGTCTGACGATTCAGGCGAGATGCAAAGAGGTCTAATGTGAGGGGTCCCCGTAATATACGAATGTGGTGAAACAGGAAAGGGTCTAATTGCCAATCGCTGGCATCTCTCCAATGACGCGAAAACCAGCCCGCGACTAAATTGTCGGGTCCTGGGAGGTGTTCCGCTCGAATGGACAGGTTCCTGTCCAGGCAGAATTGGTACAGGTCCTTGGTGAGATCGGACAGAAGTTTGGATTTGGACCCTCCAAGTCGGTTTACATACCGCACCGCGTAGATGTTGTACATCCGTAGTACCAGGGAGCAGTTGTAGGCGTCCTTGGCAAAGCTGCGGATTGCGAAGGATCCTGCAATGAGCTCAATACAATTTATGTGGAGTGCCTGTTCTGATGGGGACCAGAGACCCCGTGTGGAGGTTTGAGCACATTTGGCACCCTAACCTAAGAGGCTTGCATCAGAATCCAGGATAAAATCTGGTTGAGATCCGAAGATCGCTATCCCATTCCAGGCTTCCATATTGCGAAGCCACCAGTGGAGTTTGATGAGAACTTCGTCTGTCAGAGATATGAATTGGTCGTAAGAGGTTGAGCGATGCAAGTAGGACGTTTTTAACCGTTGCATTGCTCTGTAGTGTAAAGGCCCGGGAATATAGCTTGGATTGATGCGGACAAGAGTCCAAGAATGTGTGCAAGGTCACGGAGCCGAGATCGCTGTGAAGAGAGTAATTTGTGAATTTCTTTTTTTATGTTTTTGATCTTGGAGTAAGGCAGTTGTAAAGTTGCCTGAACCGAATCTATTTGAAAGCCCAGAAACTGGACTATCTGAGAGAGTTCCAGATCTGACTTCTGGAAATTTATGAAAAAACCAAGGTTTTGAAGGAGAGCAGAGGTCATGTGCGTGTGTTTGCGAAGCAAATGTTGGTCTTGGGCCATAATCAGAATGTCGTCTAGATATATGATGGAACGTACTCCCTGAGAACGGAGTAGTGCCATGACCGGTTTCATTAACTTGGTGAAACACCAAGGGGCGGAGCAAAGTCCAAAAGGAAGGCAGGTGAACTGCCAAATTTCGTCTTGCCAGAGAAATTGAAGGAAGGCACGATGACTTGGTGCGATTGGGACCGTGAGAGAGGCATCCCTGAGGTCGAATCTGGAGAACCAGTCTCCCACGCAAAGTAGGTCCCTGAGAAGATGGATACGGTCCATCTTGAAATGACGGTATGTAATAAATTGATTCAGTTCTTTGAGATTGATAATAGGATGGTGGTCTCCCGTCTTTTTTCGGACAAGAAAAATGTTGCCGAGGAAGGTGTAAGGGAAAGGCGAGTGTTCGATCGCCCCTTTGTCTAGTAGTTTGTGTAACTCTGAGTTTAAGGTTATTTTGTCTGCTTCCGACATCCCTAAAGGTGACGGAGGAAAACTTTGAATGGGGTGTGTGAGGAAATCTATTTTGAAACCCCTGACTGTATGAAGGATCCAGTGATCCTGAGAAAGTAGTTTCCACTGTTGGAAAAAAAGGGTTAATCGACCTGCAATTGGTACATTTTTTTAAATAAGTAAGGTCCATTACCTGAAGCAGTGCGTCCACGCAGGGATGCAGAACCACGTCCTCGAATAGAGCCTCTGGTGCCATTAGGGTCATGAATAGGTACGAATGTCTGTGGGTGGCTACCTGTGGGTAAGGCCTTGCAGAGTAAAATCTGCTCTCTGGTAGCGAGTAGCTCTTTCGATCAGTCTTTGTTTTCTTAAAGTGTAATGCGCTTTTTTACTGGTTTGCTTTATGGGCAGATTGTTTAAATCTGCAGAGAAAGCAATAATTTGTCTCTAAATAATGCTCTTTAAGTAATTACCTCAAGCTTGTTCAATTCTTGAAAGTAAATTGACTGACTGGGTCAAAGGACATTTTGAAAATATCATCATCATGGGTACAGGGGGGGTTTCTTAATTTTGGTCCTCAGAGAACCTCAATATACATTCCTTTTGACATTCTAATCCGAGAATCTATTATTTGCAAAAGCTGACAATCCATCAGGCACATTATTCTCATTTCTGGGTGCGATTCTCCCTTCGAGTCAGGGTGACATCATGCTATCGCTATGATAATTTTGTTTATGTCTGATGGCAAATTTGACTGATAAACACTATACATGTTTTTAAAGGAACAAAAAGCTGTGAATAGGTGTCTGCGCTTGGACAAACATATTATCCCTCCAATTTGATTTGCCATAGTGAATTTGACATACTCAGAAGACAGACTGACCAGATGTCCTGAGACAGAGATAGAAGGAGACTATAGACAGAGAAAAGAGAGAGAGAAAAACCTTTGTTTTCCAGATGTTTGCCCCCACATCTCCCACCCCCTTTGCCCTATCTGAGTGTAAAGCATTAAGGTACATTAGTTTTTCCAGCACCTTTTTGGACGCTGGCCTTCCCTCTTTTTGGAAATCTAATGCATCTCCGCCCATTGGCATTTCATTTGCCATTTGGACACTATGACATGTATACAAATGCTCAACTCTCGGTGCGTGCTCTCTGGCTGAAACACATGATGAAACTCCATGCCTGATATAATATCATAAATGAGAGAGAGGTAGACAGAGGGTAGATTTATATATTTACAATATATATTTTCTATGACATACTACACACAAAATGGGTTATAATATATAATATATGGCACACACACTAGTTATGATGATGTGGTATGGGTATATATAGAGTATTATTAAGCACTTCACCTGGTCCTTGTTTAGCACCTATTTAGTTTGGGCTCCCCCCTCACTCCTTGCCAGATCATTGCCTTTTGTTTCCTGTTTCCCTGGTCTCCTGTGTTCCTGGCTCCTGGCTCCTGCATACTGTGACTTGGTCCTGTGTCCTGTGTTCTCCTGGTCTTCATCCTGTGTCCTCCTGGTCCTTCATTGCTGTGTCCTCCTGGTCCTTCGTTGCTGTGTCCTCCGATCCTGTACTCTGGTTCCGTGGTCTCTGCTTTACTACCAGTGATCCTGTCCCTGCAGCCTTGCTCATTTATTCGACTTCTGGTTTTGCTTCTTGATGTCACTACATTAGTCTTGTGACTCTGGATCTGTGCCCTACCTGATACTCGTGGTAGCTGCACAATCCTGCCCTTATACCAAAGGACTGTTACAGTATTTGTTGCCTGCACGATTCGTGCTTATTTTGATTTACTGTATATATTTTGTGGCCTTGTCTGTGTATGTATGTATGTATGTATGTGTGTGTGTGTGTGTGTGTGTATATATATATATATATATATATATATATATATATATATATATATATATATATATATTTCTTGATTTAACCTATTAATTTGTGTCTTGGCCTTTATTTCTTTGCTATAGTGGTTCCCACATTTAAAGTGACAGTGCTGCTCCAGGGCAGCACCCCTTCATGTCATTACACACTGTGGGATCCTAATCAGAGTAGGTGGTATCATTTAAAATATGGCCAGATAATCGAGAGGTAGATCCCTCTAGAGGGTCTGTGGGATCCTGCATAGCGCATGGCAGGGAGTGTTTAAAATTTTTTGCAGGAGCTTTGCCTTTGCCCGCAGTAGCGCTATTCCCTTTCCAGGGTCTTTTGTGCGGAGCGCTTTCTTGGTCTGAGAGGTGGGAATCCTCTGAGGTAGAGGGATGAACCTCTGTAGCAGTTTGCTCATGATAGGCTGCCAAAGCCTTGGGAATGGAATCCGCAATAGTGGAGAAAAGCCATTCCCGAAGTTCTGCAGAAATTGCAGGGTCTTGGCGATCTGACATAATGTCTTATTAATATTAAGAAAATTATAGGGAAAATGCTAATGAAGGCAGCTTAACAACTACAGGTAGTTGTTAATAAAAAAAATATATAAATCAGGGTTGGCACTTAAAAGATGAGGTAACTCAGAATACTGGAGAGGTGGGGGTCACCCACACGAGAGTAGAAACAGTGGGGGTCACCCACAATTTGTTAGGCACAAATAAACTCTAAAGGTCAAACTAGGGGGGAGAGGTCACCCAATAACTAGAGGTGGTGATCAACCACTTGGTACAATATAAAAATATATATACACAATAGCTTATGAGGTGGGGGTCACCCACTGGAGAAAAACAAATGGTGATAATCACCAATATAGTACAGAAATATATGTAGAAATAAGGTGGGGGTCACCCACAAAATAAACAAGGTGGTGTCAGCCACACAAAGTATTGTTATTAGTAAATAGGTGGGGATCACCCACAGCAGAAACAAAGGTGGTGTCAGCCACACAATTATTTTTTAATGAATTGGGAATGTATACAAGGAATACAATTGAGTGTAGGGAAAGGAATTCACCCAGTTTGCTTAGCAGGTTGGTCTTGTCTGGAGCAAACCTGTAAAGATATACAAGAAAATTATGATCAGAATACTGATCGTTTTTAGGAAGAAATTTACCTTTAATCCCTTAAGGACGGAGCCAAATGTACACATTGTGAACGAAACAAAATGTAAACAAAACCTGGCATTTGCGCTACATGTCTGTCTAACCGTAATTCACCTCTTTCATATTAAATGCACCCACCCTTATTTTATATCATTTTATTCAGGGGAAAAAGGGCTTTCATTTAATATCAAATATTTAGCTATGAAACATAATTTAATATAAAAAAAAGGGGAGAAAATAAGATGTTTAAAAAAAATGTTTTAGTTCTACATGACATTTTAACTGTCAATGTCATAATACTGTTTGCTTTTACTGCAATAAAATACACATATTTGTATTCAGCAAAGTCTCACGTGTAAAACAGTACCCCCTATGTACAGGTTTTATGGCGTTTTAGGAAGTTACAGGGTCAAATATAGCATGTTACATTAGAAATTGAAATTCGCCAGATTGGTTACGTTGCCTTTGGGACTTTATAGTAGCCAGGAATGAAATTTACACCCATAATGGCATACCATTTGCAATAGTAGACAAACCAAGGTATTGCAAATGGGGTATGTCCAGTCTTTTTTAGTAGCCATTTGGTCA